GAAATTTCCACACCGAATAGCAATTTTCAATAGCTTCAATTTGATATATAGCCCGACGTTTGGGGTCAAGTATTTCTGCTCATACCTCAGAAAAACTATTTTGGCTTCATCAAATCATAGGCCTTCATCATAGCAGTTAGCCTTCCAGTTTATTTATAGTTCAATGTGTAAAACAAGATGCGTTTTAAAAAGGTCTACGGATATTATTTCCATGATTGTACTAACCATTAGTAAATTATTTACCTGATCAATTGGGAATGACTCTTGTGGAGTTTCTATTGCCTCCAGTGGGATATCGACAGGAGTTGATAGCTTTGAAGCCCGCTTCAGTTTGTATTTCACCAATAAGACAATCATGATGATAAGCAATACGCCGCCAGCCACTGTTGTCGCTATGGTAATAATTCTACTAGAATCATCTGTTGTCCCCTCGACTGAATCTTTAAAGATAAGAAAAATTTATAGTTATTTCTACCAACGAACATTTTCAAAATGTTAAGAGAATAAAATGAACGCGACATGCTAACACACACAAAATACCTTACAACATGATGCTGATGATGTTATAGGAGCCTTGCAGCGACACTACCTACATAGTCTAAGAGCTAACTCTGAATTCAAAATGTCCGCATCAGAACGTAGTTGAATTAAGAATTCTGGAGTTAGAACTACCGAAAAGTCATGTCGAGACATGTACAAGTGCAACTATCTACCACAGGCCGATTGTGTATATAAGTAAGGCCCATTGGGGATGCAGCTATAGGGGGATCCAAAGCCATGATCCATGTGATGGATCAACTTTCTGTTCTTCCGCGCGATTCGGTAGTTGGTTTCGCCGGAAGTGTATCAGTTAAAAAAAAAGCGAAACCTTTAGTCGAAGAAAGAATTCTGAAGTTACAAGCCAACTACCGAAAAATCATGTCGACACAAGTGCAACTATCTAAATTGATCTGAAACTGGATTTAATGGCCGCGCCTGCATGAAGTAGCTCCACCACTGAGCTATAATATATCTGGAAGAAGTGCTCGGCATCAAGAGGTGAAGCCAAAAACATGGCGGATTTTCACGTTTGCTGACGCCAGAACAGTGAACTAAAAATACCGTTCGAACTGACCTGACCGCATAGCTCAGCTGGCAGAGCATTGGGCTAGTATTCCAAAGGTCGTAGGTTCGATTCCCACCATGGCCAGGCATTTTTCAAGCCTGCCCAGTGTGGATATACTCGGAAGTACACAAGCATAACATTCTTGTTGATATTTGATGTTGGTAATTGATCATGCATTTTTGGAGGAAAATATTTTACACAGTGGTTGTTCGCCTGACACTGAACCCCAATATTTACATACTACTTGTCTGAACTATTTTCCCCATTCTTTCAACATGCTAAAATGATACAAAATACATTTCAGTTGAATTCAAGCAAGTCCTTGGGGTCCTGTTGTCAACACTATCACCTTGTTAGTAGCATATATCTGCTTAAGCCCTGGGTTCTTGAAAATGAGTGGAATTTCAAGAGCATTGACTGACCGGCTTTGTG